GGGGGGAGCATTTGTTTGTTAAGTGATTGGCAGTGACCTAGCCCTGACCCCAGGCTGTGATCTCCCGAGAATCTAAAATAGAATAGCTACAGAGACTCCTGGCCCCAAGGGATGGGGAAAAAGATGGCTCCAGAACCCCAGCTATCCGAAGACTTGCATCCCAGGTCAAACCAGGGGGCCTGGTGAGGGGAAGACAGGTCTGAGCTCAAGCCACACCTACAAACACCCACAGCTGGGGAGCCATGGAGGCCTCTATCGTTCATCCAAAAAACGGGATAGAGTAGCTTTTTCTCCTTTTCTTTCCTGTAACCGTTAATTCGAGAACTACTTATTGCCGGGCACTGTGATACCCATTAGGGACACAATGGTGATTTTTAAAAAAATTAGATGTAACGGAGGGGAGATTCAATGTGACATGACAGAGTGACACGTTCTAGGGAAGCATTTTTTTTTTACTTAGGGAAGCATTTTAATAAGAGAAAATGACCTGGTCTTTCTCCCTTAGGAGGCAGTCCCTTTTGAGCTTGGACTGTGGGATGATAGGTGAGTAGACAGACTTGCCAGAGAGAAGGAAGACGTGTGCGCAGAGTAAATGGTCTTCGCATCTGTCTTCAAGGGCAGGACCGTGGCTGGTTTGAGGACCTCCAGTGAGCCAGAGGAGCAGGGGCTGGAAAGTACTGGACAAACGAGGCTGGCTCTGCAGGCAGGGCCGGACAAGGAAGGGCCCTGTAGGAAATGTGAAAGCTTAAGTTTTTTCCTTTCATAGCAAAGGGAATCGATTGACACGGGAGGGGAACACGGTCAAATCCGCACTTGGAAAAGACCACCCTAGCCACGGCGCAGAGACAGGTTGGAGAGGTCTAGGGTGGGTGTGCCGGAGCCAGTTGAGCAGCTGTTGTGACATTCCAGAATGAGGTGATGAAAGCTGGGCCCAGGGGTGGCAAGGGAGGTGGCGAGAAAGGAGTAAATCCCAGAGACTTTTGAGAAGGTTAATTGGGCAGGATTTGATCCATCAGATGGAGATGTGAAGCAGAGGAAGGTGTTAGGATGTGTCTCCCACCCCCCGGTTGCTGACTTAGGGAACAGATGGATGGTGACGCCATCCACTGACCCAGGGAAGGCTGAGGAAAGACAGATGGGCGGGACTGTGGAAAGTCAGCTTTGGACATCCTGAATTTGAGGTGTCTTTGAGGACCCTTCTTCTATGCTTCTGGAGCTCAAGGGGGGGGCTCAGGGGTAGAGGTGATACTTGGAGCTGCGGCCGCAGGGGAGAAGGCAGAGGGAGAGTAAGGCCTGAGAGGAAGAGGGCCAGAGCCTAAGCCTTGTGAAGTGAGCCTGCAGAGCGGACCAGAGGAGATGTGGTCAGAGAAGGGACAGTCACGGGACGGAGTGGCAGGGAGGAGTGTTTCCGGTGGGAGACGCCCTCACAGTCAGATGAGGACTGACTGGAAAAATGTCTTCTGTACTCGGCGACACGAAACCTTTGCTAGCTGTAGTAAGGGCTGTGCTGTAGTGGAGGGAGGGGCAGAGCAGGGCCCGTTTTAGAATGGGCTGAGGAACGAGTGGGAGGTGAAGAAAGAAGACAGCTTGGCTGCGAGCTTTGGTTGTGAGGGAGGGGACGGTGGCTGGAGGCGGATGTGAGATTAAGGCAGGTTTTTTTTTTAATGGAGAGACCCCAGCGGTTGTAAATGCCAATAGGAAGGACCCAGGCTGGGGTTGGGGTGCTTGGACGATGGCGATGGCGAGTGTACCTGCGGGAGGGGCAGGGGGCGGGAGGTCCCATCTGACCTCTGTTCCCGGGCAGTAAGAGGTGAGGCCTGGCTCAGGAGGTTTGGCTGCTTGAAACCCTTTCACTCCGAGCCTCCTCTTCCAGGCTGCCTTCACCTGTCCCGTTTCATCAGGGGTGGTGGCTCAGCTGCCTGGGGCCCCTGCCCCACGAGAGGCCTCCACAGGGAGCAGGAAGGAGACAGCCTGCTGGGGGGAGGGGAGCTCGAGTGAGAAATGTTGGGAGGCAGGACCAGGAACCCCTCTCAGAAGCCAGGAGCACTTTGCAAAGAGCAAACGGAGAGTTGGCCATCTGCTCCGGAGGAACTCTGGGCCGTTTGCGTTGGTTTCCCGTTTTTTGTGGCGGGCGGAGGGGGTGGCGGACAGGGCCGTGGTGGCCGAATTCCTAGTGTGGGAGTGGGTGAGGGTCCTCGGGCCCTGGGCTTGACCCCCTCTGAGGTGGAAGGGAGGGGCCTTCCTGGGACGATGAGAAGGGCTGGGCCCAGAAGGACCACAAGAGTGATTGAGCCCCTGGCGGGGGGGGGGGGGGGGCGGTTGCGACCTGAGGGAAAAAAGCCCTGGTGGTCATGCTTCCCAAAGCCAGCCAGGCGCACATTCCAGGGAGCCCTCTCTGGCACAGCTATGGGGAGCCTCCTCCTTTGGGGTCCAGTGATTGTAGGGATCCCTGTAAGAACGAGGCCAAGCCTAGTGCCTAGTGCTGGGAGCAGAGTCCTAGCAGGTGTGGGGGGGGTCCCGGGAGTAGGTGGGGAGAAGCCTTTTTAATCATTAACCTGGCTGGCTGAAACCTGAACTGCTCTGCCTCCAGCTCTATCGATTCTGAAAGCGCAGCATCTGGAGCTGGCGGCTGCCCAGAGACCCTGGAGAGGGCAGGGGGGAGGAGGGGGAGGGGGGATGGAGAGGGACATGGGGAGGGGGGGAGGGGGAGGGAAGGAGGGCAGAGGCAGGGTCAGACGCCGGGGGGACAGACAGCCCTAGAGAGGGGTGTCTGGGGACACGGGGAGGCCAGGAGGCCTAAGCAGGTGCTGGGGAGGCGCAGTCAGCGGAGCCACCAGGACCACTGAGGGCAGGAAGGAACCGGAGGCTCTGGAAACTGAAGCCCCGAGGAGCGCCGTGACTTGCCCAAGGTGACAAGGTCAGAGCCTGCACCACAACTGAGGTCAGCTGACTTCGCCGCACCGATAGAGGACATAGAATGACAGGGCCCTGAGGTCAGGGGAGAAGAGGTGATGGGCATGAAAAGTCAGCGAGGGAGGGTCAGTTCTGGGGGTACCGTGCTTCTGGGGACAGAGGCGTCGCCTCTCTTTGCCCGTGAGTATACAGGAAGATATTCACGACATGGCTCTGGACTGACTGAGGGACGGATCAGGCTGCCAAAGGAGAAAGGAGGGTCGAGAAAACAGAAACGCTAGAAGGAGCTGCACCCCAAGAAGACACCTGTCCGTACTCGTTTAGCCAAAATCCAGGGCCCTGACAAGGCGGGTTTCCACCGGGATGTCAAGAGTGGGCTCCTGGCTCCCTACTAGTTCAGACAGCAGGACTCCTAGGCCATGTCACCTCTGAGACAGGGGTGGGGGGTGGGGCCTCCTTGGGGAGACACCTTCTGGCAGGCGGGGTCAGAAGCACATGGGCACCAACACGCCATCATGGTCCCCACAGCTTCCCTCGGCCGTGCCAGCTCCTAGAATAGCGTTTCTGAGCTGCACGGGGATGCGAGCCCGGCCGCCCGCTGGCTGATCGGCTTCCTAGGAGGACCGGGAAAGGAGGGAAGGGGCAAGCCCTGCAGACAGGATCGGATAGGAACACGGAGGGGGTAAGGGCAGCCCGACGGTAGAGACAAAGAGGAATGAAGACGACGCAATGACGCGGCTCCCACAGCACAGAAAATGTCGGGATGCCACGGAGAAGGCGGGGGCCCACATGAGGCCATGCTGAGGGCGGCACGGGAGGCCGTGGGCCGTCTGCGGTCATGGCGGTAGCCTGCGCCAGGCTGTTCTGTCCTGCATGGTGGAAGCTTCACCCGGGACCTGCCGCAGGGAGAGTAAGTTGCCGGTGGGGTGGAGGACAATGAAGGCGCGGAGCCCAGAGCCTCGTGTGGGTAACATCTTTCTCTCCCCTTTCTCCGACAGCTCAACATCCTGGTGGACACAGGCAGCAGTAACTTTGCAGTGGGGGCTTCCCCCCACCCTTTCCTGCATCGCTACTACCAGAGGCAGCTGTGAGTGCTGGGGAGCGCTAGACAGAACCCTTCCCGACGAGCCAGGGCCCAGAAGGGTCGGGGCAGGGCTTCGAGGAAAGACTAGCTCCTCGGAACTTTTCTAAGGGAGAGGAGTGGAGAGGGGGCACGTGAGGGGTTTTCTATGGGAAAAGGGAGGTTGAGGGGCCACCAAGAAGTGCTTCAGTGCTGAGACAAAGGCGGCTTCCTTGGGGAGGGGGAGCAGGGAGGACAGGAGCCCCAAGGCTCCTAACTCAAGAGTCCTTCTTTCTGCCTGAGCTGGGAGACATGGAGACTTCATCCCAGCCCCCCCGGCCCCCTCAGTGGCTCTCAGGTTTCTGGCAACATCGACTCGCTCAGTGTAGGCCGAGCAGGCTGCCGTGGCCACTCCCTTCGCTGTGCTCTCCCTCAGGGGCTACTCCTGGTGGCAATGCACGGTTCAAGGGAGTGAAGGAAGAACCTTCCATAAGCCCCACGGCCCGGAGCCGTATCAGGGGCTGAAAGCTGTACCGCCTCCCCATACCGCCCAGAGTCCCAGCGGCTGGATCTAGCGAGCTGGTGGCAGGGAGGGTCGCTGTGGGGTCTGAAGGCAAGAGGCAGAGAGGGATGATGTGGGAGCCTCCTTAGCATAAAAGCACAAAGTGGCGAGGGGACATCTAATGTCTGAGGCATCTCTCTGTGTGTAAATCTGTGAGCAGAGCCCTTAATCCTATTCTTGGACTTCTAGGCAGATGCCGAAGCCATCTTCGGCATCTTCTGCCTTCTTAGTCTCCTTCAGCTTCCACTCCCCTGCCTGAAGACAGCGGTGGGGACCGGGGCGTGGTCAGGCTCCACGAAAGGGGATTCCCCCCGCCCCTCCCAGTCCCGCCACTGCCCTCCAGCACGCACACAGGGCCGGGGTAGTGGTGTGAGGAGGCGCGGTGGGCGGGGGGGGGGGTGTCACGTGCTCGTGAGCGTGTGTTCCACACAAGTGGTGTCTAATACTTACCTGCCTTGCTGAGAGGCTGTGCCGATTCTTTCTTGGGAAGAACTTGCCCGAGAGGTTACCCATTCACCCCGCCTGGCACTTTCTCTACCACTCAAATGGTACTACCAGGTCCCAAGGCAGCAAGAGTCAAAGGCTCCTTTTCTCTGGGAGTTTGATGTAGCTGGGGGGGTGGGGGGAGGAGGAGATGCCCGCTAGCTGTCCCTCGGCAGCGGCGGGCACAATACACAAAGCATAGGCTTGTTCCTCACGGGGCCTGAGCTCCAGATCTAGGGATATGAACCGTGGAGACAGGAGGGTGAGCCCCAGTAACAGCTCCCCTCATCTGTTTGCAAGGTTACTTTACGCTGTTCTGGTTGATTGCTCTGGGATGTTCTGCTGAGCACCTTATCTCACGCAGGCTGGCCCTGGCAGGAGGGGAGGCCGTTGGGAGTGCTGGATCCCTACGCCAGGTGTTGTGGTCATGCCGCCACAGACCTCTGCCTCCTCCCCACAGGTCCAGCACATACCGGGACCTCCGCAAGGGTGTGTATGTGCCCTACACCCAGGGCAAGTGGGAGGGAGAGCTGGGCACCGACCTGGTGAGCATCCCCCATGGCCCCAACGTCACGGTGCGTGCCAACATCGCTGCCATCACGGAGTCGGACAAGTTCTTCATCAATGGCTCCAACTGGGAGGGCATCCTGGGGCTGGCCTATGCCGAGATCGCCAGGGTGAGAGGACCAGGGCCTACCCCCAGACGCTGTGTCTGCACGTCGCACCCTGCATGCTACAGAGGGACGGGCGTGGAGAGAAGGCGAATGGACTAAGGGGGGAAACAAATCGGCTGGAAGGATTAGTTAACAGGGGGATGGGGTGGCCGTCTGGGTCCCGTCCCTGGAGAGGGTGCAACTATAGTGAGGGACGCTGTGATAGGGACAAGATTAGGTTCTGGTTTCTACCGACTTCCAAGATCTTGGGAATAAAAGAGGCCCCCTCCCTGCATAAATCTGAACCGGGTTAAGCATATGGGGACCAAAGATTCTGTAGATCTTTCCTATTTGCACTGCCGGTGTCTCTTGCTGACCCTCTCTCTGCCCAATCTCAGTACTTTGATCAAGATAGTCTTTCCCCAGGAACATCCCCCAAGTTTTTGCTTTTGCCTTCCGGTCTAGGCGGGGAGCTGGCCTCTTTCCATTAGGGCCCTCTGTGTGAGGATTCACTCCTTGTCTCTCTCTGCCACAGCCCGATGACTCCCTGGAGCCGTTCTTTGACTCCCTGGTGAAGCAGACTCACGTCCCCAACCTCTTCTCCCTGCAGCTCTGCGGCGCCGGCTTTCCCCTCAACCAGTCGGAAGTACTGGCCTCAGTTGGAGGGAGCATGGTGAGTAGGTCCTTGGAGAGGGGCGCTGCCGCCACTGGGCAGAGGGCTGGGCGCCGCATGCCTCCCCGCCCTCCAAGGCCCCACCACACTCTTGGGCTCCACTACTCAGACTCCAGAGAAACCTCTTGGTATTCCCCACCTCCGCTTTTCTTTTCCCATCCTTTCCTTCCTTGTGTTAGTCCAGAAACGACTCCAGGTGCCTATGGTAAGCTTGGAAAGGATGAGATGAGTAGGGAACTGGAAAAGAAATGAAAATAACGACCTCTCAAATTAAGGTCATTCAGTCTGATGATCAGAAGGCAGAGATGTTAAGGAGTTTAAAAGTCTATTTATTAATTCATTAGGACAACTGGTGAATGGGTCTCCATCTCCAACAAGCTGAGAAAATAAAACTTGTTAAGAGAAGCAAATAGTCATTCATTTAACATTTAGTGTGCCAGTTTAGGTTTAAATAACTTTATATTGAGGGCTGCGAGATCCTGAAACAAATAATTTAAAGTCCTGCAAAGTCTTCCCCTGACGCATTCTTAACACATTTAAGAAACTACAGATCACTCTGGGACATGATTTGATTGGAAGCAGGAAGATGAGAAAGGTGGCCTGTAAGGGGGCCTTGCCACCCCCCGGAAATCTCTGATCCCATTGCTTTCTCTCTGGGTGACTCGCTGTCCCTTTGTGTTGGGACACGGGGACCTGCCTCCTTCTCTCCCTAGATCATTGGGGGCATCGACCACTCACTGTACACGGGCAGCCTCTGGTACACACCCATCCGGCGGGAGTGGTACTACGAGGTGATCATTGTGCGGGTGGAGATCAACGGGCAGGATCTGAAAATGGACTGCAAGGAGGTAACGACACCAGGGGGAGGTAAGGGGGCGGCAACGAAGCATGAAGTCAGACCCTGAGTTAGGCTGGGAGGACGGGACAGGGGAGCAGGGGCTGCAGAAGGGGGTGGGGGCTGAGCCTAGAACCATCGTGAGCTTAATGGTGACACAATCATTGGGGCTAGGGACTGGCAGGGCACTTTCACAGGGACCGTGTGGATTATGGTCTAGGAAGGAGAAAAGCAGGTGTGGACTCTAGTCACTGCCTTGCTTGATGGCCTTGGACAAGTTGTTGGCGAGGCAGCATCATATGATGCAAGTGGAAGAGTCCAGCTTCGGAGTTGGAAAACCCTGGGTCTCTAGCTTTGCCTTTTACTAGCCATGTGCCCTCAGGCAAGTTACTGTTTTGTGTTTCAGTCCCCTCATCTGCAAAACAGAGGGAAAGACAGCTTTTCCAAAGATTGTGGTGAAGACAAGAGAAAAGGGGATGAATCGTTCCTCCCAGGGCCTGGCACATAGCGGTACCCAATAAATAGCAGCTAAACCATGTGGGTCTTCCTTACCTAGATCCTTAATGGACGTTAAGTTAGAACAGATATAAAAGTACTACGAAAAGTTAAAAGCACTATACGAGGCATTTTTATTCTCAAGATTTGGAGAAGGTCTGCCCCATCCAAGAATTTATTAAGAGTTAGTATTTTTACTGGATACTTCCTATGTGCTGGGCACAATTCTAAGCGTCTCAAACGTATTAACTTAATCCTTATAATAACTCTTTGAGGTAGGTACTATTATTGTCCTCATTTTAAAGATGAGGAAACTGAGGCACAGAGGCTAAAACAACTTGCCCAAGGATCTACTCCTAAGAGGTACGGAGCCAGGATGGCCCCCATGCCGTCGGAGTCACCCTTCCGATTCCGGAGCCTGGCATCAAAAAAAGGCTCTCGACTCTTCTGACCCCCTCTTCCCTGTCCTAGTACAACTACGACAAGAGCATCGTGGACAGTGGCACCACCAACCTTCGCCTGCCCAAGAAGGTGTTTGAAGCTGCTGTCAAATCCATCAAGGCAGCCTCCTCGGTCAGTAGGACTAAGTGCAGGGGTACAACAGATGACGGGCTGCCAGAGGAAGTCCGTCAAGGTCACAGGCCTCAACAAGAGCCAAGCTGCCTGCCTTTAGGTCCCTGTACTTACTCAATGCCTTCAAAGCCAGTCTCTGTCCTGGGCCTCGGCTTGCTCGTCACACAGTCCCCTGCTGTACAGTGTCGGCCTCGCCCTCCCTCGGTCTCCCCCTAATCCTGGGTTTCAGTGTGCCTTTCCCCAGTGCGGGTTTTCCACAGAAAAGCAAAGAAAGGAAGGGCCCGGGAAGTGCCATGTGAAAGCGGGAGAAGCGAGGTGCTGGAAGAGGCAGGGTCCTCATCGCTATCCCTTTCTCGCCACCGCAGACGGAGAAGTTCCCGGACGGGTTTTGGCTGGGGGAGCAGCTGGTATGCTGGCAGGCAGGCACCACCCCTTGGAACATTTTCCCAGTCATCTCCCTCTACCTGATGGGTGAGGTCACCAATCAGTCCTTCCGCATCACCATCCTTCCACAGGTATGTCCCCCGGCCCAGAAGAGGTCACAGTATGGACGGGCAGCCAGGGACCAGGCAGGGCCTCCCAGCGCCTGGACGACCAAGTAGAGGAGTGTCCCGGGGCTCCTGCAGAAACCGGGCAGAGCGCGCAGAGCTCAGGGAAGGCAGAGGGAGGAGCCAGCTGCGGGCACGGACACCTAGAAGGCAGAGGCGGGGAGAGGGCCGGGGCGAGGAAGACAGCCTCCCCATCGTGGCTCGCTTGTCCTCAGCAATACCTGCGGCCAGTGGAAGATGTGGCCACGTCCCAAGATGACTGCTACAAGTTCGCCATCTCCCAGTCCTCCACGGGCACGGTTATGGGAGCTGTGATCATGGAGGGCTTCTACGTGGTCTTTGATCGGGCCCGGAAACGAATTGGCTTCGCCGTCAGTGCTTGTCACGGTAAGAGGGCCAGGGAGGAGGGTGCGGCCAGTCTACCCGTGTTCTCGCTGCCCAACAGTTAGGATGCCTGGGCCCCCGCCGGCCTGGGAGGTAGTAGTAATAGTTGCCTCGGGGCAGAGCCAACATGTTGTGCCAAAGCCAGCGTCAGTGCTTGTGCTTTTTCTGTGCTGCCTGGCACGGTGAGTCGTGCGTGGGCTGGTGGCCCCTGGTGGAGACCAGAAGAGCAAGGGCTGCCGCGGCCCCTTGGGAAGCTCTCGCCCCAAGGGCAGCAGGCTGAGCCTACAGTGACCTCGTCGGCTGCTACGTGATGAGCTGAATGCCGGCTACTTGAGAGTGCTGGCGGGGTCTTGCAAGTGGGCATCGGCCGAAGAGGTGAGTTTACCAGGTACATATGGGGCTGGCCTTTCGGTCAACTCACAAGACTGACGTTTAGTGTAGTTCCTAGCGCATGGTTACCCAGCAGAGGGCTGTTGCTCCCACTGACCTGGGCGGAGGAGCCAGGGCTTTCTGGCCTGCCCCTAAGTATCTCCAGGCACAGAGATGCTAGAGCCTCCTGAGGGGCTGATTTCGAGGCCTATCAGGAAGTTCTGTTTGTTGCATAAACCCAACTGCTCTGATGATGCGAGGTGCCCACTGATACCTGTCCTTTCTCCAGTGCATGACGAGTTCAGGACAGCAGCAGTGGAAGGCCCTTTCATCACCCCCGACATGGAAGACTGTGGCTACAACATCCCCCAGACAGATGAGTCCACCCTCATGACCATAGCCTACGTCATGGCCGCCATCTGTGCCCTCTTCATGCTGCCGCTCTGCCTCATGGTGTGCCAGTGGCGCTGCCTCCGCTGCCTGCGCCACCAGCACGATGACTTTGCGGATGACATCTCCCTGCTGAAGTGAGGAGGCCCACGGGCAGGAGACAGAGATCCCCTGGGACCACACCTGGTGGTTCACTTTGGTCGCAAGCAGGAGACACAGATGGCACCGGTGGCCAGAGCGCCTAGACCCCCACCTGCCACCAAACGCCTCTGCCGTGACAGACAAGGAGGGGAAGCCGGCAAGGCGGGTTACAGGGACTGCGCCTGCAGAAACAGGAGAGAGAAGAAAGCAGCCCTCTGGTGGCAGGAGTATTCTTGGTCGCCTTGAGCCTGAGTTGGGAAATTCTGCTGCTTGACACTTCAGCCTTGAACCTCTGCCCACCATCCCTTTGGATTCTCCAACCCAAAGTATTCTTCGTTCTTAGTTCCAGAAGTAGTGGCATCCCAGCCGAGTCACCCCAGCGTGCGGCCCTCTGCGGTACCCGGGCAGAGAAAGGGCCAATCTTGCTTCCCTGCTGGCCAAAGCCAGTAGGAACGGATGCACAGTTCGCTACTTGCTTTAGTGATAGGGACTGTATAAACTAGCCTAACGTTGGTACAAAGATTGCCTCTTGAATTAAACAGAAGTGTAATTAGACTGAGTATCTGTACAATGGGGGCGGGTGGAAGAGGAGAGGAGGGGAGCGCAAAGACAGGGAACGGCTGGGATCAGGGCTGGAAGAGGCAGAGCCACGGCCACTCCCCAGTCCCAGCTTCAGACAGTATCTCCAAGACGGAAGCCCATCCTGCAGGATGGGTGCTGCTACCCAGTGTCGTCTTCTCTGCGGTGGCAGCCCGGCCAAAAGTGAGTTGGGAAGAAGGGCTCGCCTAGCCGAAAAGCTCTTTTTAACGCTCTTAAGTGAAAAGTGCCCGCTAAGAAGTTCCATCTAACAAATGAATTTCTACCTTATTAACGCCACTCGTCTCTTCCTGCACCCTGTACTCCACGCACACTGGGTACCACTCGCCTTTCCCAACGCCCCTCGGTCCCAGGTGCCCTACGAGACAGCAACTGGAATACAGCAGACAGAGCAGGGCCGGGCCCCGTCTTCCTGCTTCTACGTCCCCTCCCTCCCTGAGCCCCGATCCCTCCGGAACGCTGCCGCTGAGGTGCCGAGAGGGACGGGCGGGAGACCTCCCTTCACCCTTGAAAGCAGGACGCTCAAGATTCATTCGACAAGTACAGGGTTGAGGCCCTACGCCTCTGCCTGGGTTTCTTCCTGTTCAGCTGTAAAGTAGTAGTAAGAGCGCCACACGAGGCAGAGGCGTTCCGTTGCCTTCTCTCCCTCTCTAATGTCCCCTCCATCAACCTGGCTGAGGCGGCCGACAGGGGCGCTGGTATTATGCCTGGCGTCGGAACCACGGGGCTCTCTGGCTCTAGCATCACTGCCTTCGGTAACAAGGCTGCCGGGGAAAGGCTGGCCGCCTCGGGGCTCCCTCACTTCCTTCACCACCAGGGCCGCTCCTGGAGGCCATCCTTCTCCCCTCTCCTACTCTCTCCTCCCCACTCCTAATCAATAGCTTCCCAGGCTGGTTCTTGGGCTAGCAGTGGGCACTGAGTTCACTTCCCCACCATCAGTTCTAACACGGTGGACTATGAGACCCGTGTCAGCGGGAAGACCTGGAGCCCCCGGCTCACCCACCGGGTCCCACTGCTGTCTCGCTGACACGCTGCTTCCAGGTGTGGGGCCGCCCGCGTGTGGAATGACCTGGTGAGGGAACGGGAGCTACAAGGAGGGCCTCGGCCAGCTGCCCACAAGCCATAAACCAATAAAAGAAGAACACTGAATCACAGTTCCTTATCTGGGTTCGCTTCATTCCCCTTGCACTTGGTGCTGCTCTGGCTGCCTGGGAACACCCCCTCACCACAAGGACCGTCAGCCAGACTGGACACTGTCTGTTTCCAGCTCGGAACTTACTGTGTAAATAAACTTCCATGAACTGCTACCATGTGATAAAATGCCACATTCTGCTTTATAATTTCTTCCCATGTTGGGAAAACTGGCTTTTTCCCAGCTCTGTCCAGGGCATAAAACTCAACCCCTTCATTAGGAAGTCCCACTGTCGTATTTTTTTTTAACTTGTACTCGCTTTTCTTTTTACAGTTACTTCCTTTCTACCCTAAAACTAGTAACTCTAAGTGTGAAAGAAAATCCTTGACAACAGCTTCTTGCTTGTAAAAATATGTATTATATATCTTATTTTTAAAGTCGACTCCTGAAAAGCGACTGTCCCACCTCTACTCACTGTATTCGAGGCCCTTTTCGTCGGTCTGCATGGCCTCTACCCTGCAGGCCAGCGGGCAGAGGGAACAGGGAGAACGGGGACGGCCAAAACTTAAATGTTGCTTTCTGACTGATTCTGAACAAGACAGAGAAAAGAGCAACAGTGAGGCCCCAACTCCCACACACAACTCCCCAAAACCTCAGTCGTCCCACTATAGTTGGCTTTCAAGGGGCTTTTACGGGGAAGCAGGTAAGCCCCTCACCCCTGCGCCCACCACTTCCTCCTTTCTTCTCTCTATACTCCTTTGGCTTAAGAGATTTGTAGAAAAGAGAACGGCTTTTATACCCATTTCTAATTTCTAGATTTTTAGGGGATACTGAAAAATGCTGCTGGTGGACTAAAGGGCGCTGCAAAGTTGATGAGAGAGAAATTCTTTTGATTACGAGATAAAAAATCAATTGCCCAAATGAAAAGAACAAAGGAACTGGTCTTCCATTTTGCCACATTTCTGTTCATGATAGCTACCAAACTGGAGACCTTAGCATTTCACTAACCAAAGAAAGTGGGCCACCTGACCTCTACGGAGGGGAGTCCTGGGGCCATTTCCAACACCCTACAAGATGCCAGGAGGCCCTGGGAAGTCCGGCTCCTTAAAATGATGCGAGTCAACAAGCCTGAGCAAGTAAGGCAAGAGAAGGGCTATGGCCAAGAGCCTGCTAGGCAGGAACAAAGGACAAAGAAGGAAAAGAACAAAAACTGAGGGGAGAGAATTTAACTGGAGCTAAAAGGAAAAGACTTTGCTACCTTGGCAGTGTTTACTAGTGCCAAGAAGCACGTCCAGCTCCCAGGATGGGAAACATTTAGCTGTTGCTAATATAATGGTGTCCTTCCCCTGGAGCTAATTTTGTTTTTTTTAATTAACACGTAGGTTTTCCTCATTCAATTCCAAAAGAGAAGGAAGCTGAAGCCATTTCCTATAGGACTGAAAGTAAAAGGACAGGAAAAGATTCAAAGCTCTAGTAGATTCACAGCTTTCACAGGTATAAACCTAAAACCCAGACGTGCTCAATAAGCAGAGGTGGAAAAACGATCTCGTTCTAGATAGCTATCCATAGATCAAGTGACTTCTAAACTTGAAATCTAACGTCCCTTCATATCACTTCGGCTTCCGTTTTTCCCAGGACAGGAAACATGTCCCCATCATTTTCTTCCTTCAGAAATGAAAATCCAGCATCCCGAGATCATTCTGCAAATAATTCTGCACAGACATCTCCTCACCCCAGTGCCTGCCTGGAGCTCACCCAAGGTCACCAAACAACTTGGTTGTGAACCAACTGCCTTAACATTCACGGGGGAGGGGAGGGCTGGCAGACTAGGAGACCAGAAGTTACAGGGAAGAGGTGAGGGCTTCACAAGGTTGGTCTGTCAGCTTGATCAGAGGCCAAGTCAGTGGCAGCAAGGGATGGCTTGGCCTAGGAAAGACCTGTGGGCTGTGCTAGTTTCTAAAGAGATGACTATGCAGGAAGTCAGATGGACAGAAGCTCGTGGGGGGCAGGGGTGAAATGGGACCCACTTACGTTGTTATTCTTGGACTGTGAATTTTGCCGATGTAAAACAGAATATTCTGTAAACCTAATGTCTATGTGCAAATAATGAGCGTTAACACAGTAAAATATTCAACGAAAATTCAGACTTTTAGGGTTACATTTTTTTTTTTCCTCAATCAATCTCATTTTATCCATTTGGGGCAGAGTGGCTAGAACAACACTGAGGCTTCCGGAGGCTTTCAGTAAGCAAGGCATCTGGTCAGTCAGCGGGTGAGCACCAGGGTTCAAGTCTGCATACGTGAGCCTGGAGAAAATTAACTAGAGGCTGAGCCAAATCAAAGCAGGATGGCCTTAGAGGAACAGCAGCTTCCTAGATGGTTTTTATATTGTACTTGAAAACAGCCCTGGGCAAGAATATCATAATTTCAAGGGCAAACTAAACATCACCTTACCTACAATCTGCATCCGCCAAAGGAATTGCAAGGTGAGGGGGACAACCATTTCTGCATAATATACATATGTAAATGTTCATTTATGAACATTTGAATACAGACTTTCTATACACACATTACCTATATAATAAAAATGTACATGGTGTGAGTATAGGTCACTGTATAAATATATAGACTTTTAGAAATCTTGAACCCGCGCTTCCTGTTCACATCAGTTTCTCCTCTTCTTCCTCCCCAGTCAGGTCCGTCATTTAAGAGTTGGACAAAAGGGACAAGTGTCATTTGTGTTGGTCTGGGCCCAGAATTTGATACACTGGAAAGGAAGAAAGACATATCTCAGGTTTATCTGGAAAGATGGAGAGGAGGGGAGAGAGAGCCACTGAGGTCCACTAGGTCTAAGGAACGCATACTGAGTCAGAAGAGCTCTTACTGTGGGGGACCGGATGGGCCATTTCATTGGCTCTCCCCTCCAAGAATCGTCAGGGTAGGGGAACCTGTTCTTTTACAGGGAACAGTAACAATCAGCTAAGAATAGCGTAAGGCTTCTCATTGTTAAATGCCTGGTGTGGCCTTCTCCTTCCCATGATCTGTTCAGGCAGAGATGAGCTCTCATCTCCAAATACCCACCACCCTCAAAGCTTATTCAGCATTTTCCCTTACTAAGAATTTAGATGTAAATCCAGTTCCTACCTCTTGGAAAATCAAAATGAACAAAACAAAATAGTAAAGAGGCAATCATCCCTGACGCCAAGAGACTTGACTACGTATAACATAATACAAGATAGGAATAACCTATCCGTTTGTGAAGATAATCTCTAACAGGCAGGTCTCCAAGCTATTCTGTTAATGGACTTCCTACTCTCATATTCAGGTTCCCTATTCCCTTCTTCTCATCTAAGCAAAATCTCCTGACAGTGCTATATTTGAAACAGTGCCTAGAAATGTATGTCTTATTGTCAGCGTTCCAAGAAAGTAATCTATCGGTGCTCGAGGATGAAGTGCTTATCCAGTCCCCTAAAGAGAGTGGGGTAACAGGAAGCTGGGAGATCCTAGCTGCCAGTATTCTGAATTCTGCTGATCGTTTAAGCCACAATTTACTGAAAACCTCATGCTGAGATATTAATGATGACCATCAACAGAGCACCACGTTCAAGAAAAATGCAGAGGAGGAAGAGTGGGAACGAAGAAGGTCTACAGCACCCACCTCCTTGTGCAGCACATGGGAGCACGCCATTGGATGCAGCTCACTGGGCTGGACGAGCTTCTGGCACATGAGACACAGCTTACAGGCGGCTGGAGCCTGAGAACAGAGGAGGGACGGCCGAAGAGTGAGGAACCTCTGGGTCTCTTGCCTTTAATGCCCGTGATTCCATCTAGTAGTTCGATGTAGCAAAAAGATTTTACACCAAAAGAAGGAAAAGCTCAAATACAGCTTCTTGCCAGAAGTACTTGCATGTTCTCAGTGGGGGCCGCCAAGGAGCCGGCTACGGAGACGACGGCTTGTTCCCACACCCCACCTGTGAACCTGTTCCCTCCTCACCCCCCAGCTCCTCCACATCCCCGTTTTCAAAGAAAAAGAGCCTTACGTGTGATGACCTTCCAGGGTATGAAACTTGGGCAGAAGGCAAGAACATTGGGGTACTGATTTGGGTCAACGGAGCAGGGAACAAGGCCCGGATCCGACCGAGTGGCTGTGGGCAGAAATATCGTCAGAGTGAGGAGAGAGAGTCTGAGCAACCTAGCAGGTAACAAAAAGAAACCATTTATTGCCCAGTCCAGCAAAGGAAGAAACCAGACTAGAACACCCTGGCTGCAGGGCTGAGGCCCCGGTTTCCCTGCAGTCTGTGCTTCCCCTACCATCTCAGCAGGTGCGGCTCTCCCCTAGGCAGCCCTTCTTACCTGAGTACTGGCTGCCACCCGCTCGTGTTCTGCCAGCCGCGCCGCTACCAACTGGATCAGCTCCTCCATGGTCAGGCCGGCCATGGTGGTCCGGGCCGTCTTGATTTGCTGAAGAATGTTGGTCATCTGCGCCCTAAGAAACCAAATGTTGAGGGAGAGAGATTCTCTGCTATACTCATGATTATATCCCTGAGACCGCCCCTATTTTAATCCACAGACATTTCTCTGACAAATTTTTAATTAGTCCTGAAAGATACTTACTTATTGCATTGTGGGAAGCGAGTCAGTAGCTTCTCCAGGATCTTCTCCAGTTTGTCTACTGGCTGGGGCCGGGGAGTTTCAGGAGAAGCCTTAACACCGCCCAGGCCTGGGGGAGGTGGGATGGAGGCAGCAGGAGGCATGTGTGGGCCGTGGGGGCCAACGAGGGAGGCCAAACCAGGGCTATTTCTCCCATGGGAGCCAGGGAGGGGTGGGGAGGGCTGGCTGGGCTGGGAGAGGGCAGGGTTCAGGATTGGGAAAGACAAGGAGCGGGGGTCTGCGCTGGGCATCACCATGGGCACTGTGACCTGCCCAATGGAGAAGGGCATCCGAGGAGCCAGAGAAGGATTGGGTTGAAACACCTGAAGCATAAAGTCTGTCTGTAGAGCGGCAGAGGCAGAGCACAAGGGAGAAAGGAAGAAAATAAAAGTTTAGGAAACTGGAGCAGAAGTCAGTGAGCAATTCTTATGCCAAATAATACACTAATAACAACAGCAATGTCCTAATACCGGGAATGAAACCAAATTCCTCATAAAAGGGATGGGTAAAGACTCTGGCTCTGCCAGCAGCACAGAAAGGTAGCCTCCCCCACGCCAGCCCCCTCACCTCTGATGGGGGTGGAGGCAAAGTGGGAGTCGGGATTTGAGGAAGGCTGCTCAGCTTGGCCCCGTTCCTCACCAACTGGATATGACTGTTAAACTGGTCCTAGAAGAGAGAGAAGGGAAAGGACTATCCTTCCTGCTGAGCTGAGTAGGCCCCTCTAGAAAGAGGGCACCATCCAGAGCCAGAAGAGCCAAGGCAGGGGAGAGCCAGCCCTGAGTGACAGTGTCTACAAGGTCCCTCGCTATCACCAGGGTTTCGGCACAGACTGAACCCTCACTTGTCCGTCAGCCATTACAACACTTACCCGAACGTTCTTCTTCATCATCCGAACTCCATTCAGCCTTGTCTCCCACTCCTGTTTGGAACGGACGGTCTCTAGTGTTGGGGGGGTTGACCTTTCAAGAAACCAACAGGGATTTACAGAAGTGAAGAGAGCCCTGCACCTGACTCTGACAGCGGGACAGTGTCTGGCTAACGGGCCTGGCGAGAAGAGGTCGGACCAGGTGCGGGAGGCGGCCAGAGCCAGAGGTGTCTGCTTCACTCTCACTCCAGCATTTTGCAAGCCAATTATTTGAGAAAGAGGACCCACCAGAGAGACAGGGTTTTTGTCTGCCTGGAAATGCCACAGGGGTCCTCCAGATTTCACGGCAGAAAGAGAAACGACTCTACGAGAAACAAGTCTCCAAAGATACCCGCTATGCTTTGACGCCGTAAGAGACACTGTTTATCTAACTGGAACCAATACAAGAAAAAATACAAAGCCATAAAATATGGGAAGAGAAATCACTGAACAATGATGGGGATGGCCCTGAATGTCCTGTGAAGACAGATTAAGTGCCAGATAGGGTCTGAAAAACATAACAACACAAAACAACACCCCCCTCCTGCCCCATACACACACAAAACACAAAACCGCAGGACCATTAAGACTCTAGAAGGGGAAGGTACTTACTTGAGGTAAGTGAGGTGCAATTCTGCTTCTTTTTCTGCTTCTTCCAGTTTCAGTACCAGCAGCTCTTTCCGACTCTCTAGTGATAAGATCTAAGGAAATCATACACACACACACACACACACACAGATACTCTGTTAATTTTATATGCACAAAGCTAAACACAAAGTTAAAACAAATGCTGAGTAGGTATATGGCAGAATCCCTGTGCTTAGTGGTAGAAAACTACACTATACCGTACATACGATAATAGTACAATACGATACTTACAACATACTATATTATATGCATAGTGTACTATGTTATATATAGTACTATAGTATACTCTACTATAATACAACAGGTTCTATTATCTGGAAGCCCCACATCAAGGCTTTCCACACAGAGCTCTTCTCACCTCTGCCTTCCAGGCCCGTTCTGTCTCTTCCATAATGTTCCGATTTATTTCGCCATCCTGATTCTTGAGTCTATCTAGTTCCATTTCCCACACTTCTCTGTAAGGTAAGAAACCAAAAACAAAAGTAAGGAGAGAAAGACAAGATTGCTAAGGGACCTCAAGGCAAAAGCAAAACCTGAAGTTGATCTAGCAGGTATGTTACAGGAAGTCTTACTCTAAGTATTAATGTAGATCGAGAGGCAGAATGTTTAGAGTGGTCTGTAACTGCATAAAGGCCCTATATTTGAAAGTACAAATGTTCACGTCTCCACTTGCTAAAAAAAGATTACCAAGAGCTGGAAAGAGTGCACCGAGGATGAAACCCAATGAACACAGAATGTTCTACATTCAAGGAGGGCTCAGAATCATTATGGTATTCCCCTTGTTTCTTGACTTGTCTTTTAGTACAGATATGAAGAATGCCGGACCAGACATGCATCCGTTTAATACTCACTTCTAATGCAGCAAGCACCGATTCACTACTAGGCACACAGATACCAGCTTACCGATTGTCCTGTTTTCTTAGCCATGGTAAACATTCTTCAGAAGGAAAAAAAAAAATGTTCTCTTCACACCCTCCCTCTTATGCTGCCCTCCCAGCCCCATCCCTAGAATGTAATATACATGCTCACAGTCAGGTGACCAACTGCTTGTGTGCCTGTTCTGAGGCTTTTTGCAGAATGTGGGAGGGTCAAGTAAGTTTTGTGGCTGGAAAGCAAAGGATTATCCAGATCAGTGGGAAAGAATGATATGGGAATGTTGACATTTTTTCACTGTATTTTTAAAAGAGGAGAGGGAGGGGGAGGAGCAGGAGGAGGCGGAGGAGGGGGTGGGGGAGAAAAGGTTGGGAAGAGTAACATCTTAAGAAATATGTTCCCACTTTTCTCCAGTAAAATAAATAATTTCAGTCTTCTGGGTTATTTTGGTAGCCTCACACATAAGAAAGGGGGTGATCCACTTATCAAGTTTTCGAGGTGCTTTCTCCTTACATCTGACCCTTCACATGTCCCTGTCCCCCATTTCACAGACAAAGTGCAGGTGTGGGTGTGACCCAAACACCCATTCACTGATTCACAAACAGCAGTCTGCCCTTCTACCGACAAGGTCAGATAGACAGAAGTGACCAGGTGGGCATTTTCTTCCTAATGTCTACATTTTGTCCTTTCCAAACTAACCTCCTGCCAAAAGAGGAATTCTCTACTAATTCTTGAGGCAAAGGTTTATAGGTAGCTGTGTTTTCTTGCTCCAACACATACTCCTCATGTAAAACACACGAGTCAGAGATCTCTAACCACAGGAACATGTGAACTATGCCATGAGGTCAGCCAATGATCCACTTAGCTTACTGGTCACTCTCTGACAATGGGATAGCATGTACAAAACATGACAGCTGCCTTCTGTGACTGATGTTATTCTTGAAGATTACCAGTGGTCACTGAATGTCTCTTTCATTAAATACATTTGTCAACTATAGGTACACATTTATATGAGAAAAATCCTTCTACCAAGCCGATGCGGACATTCCACATATTCACACAGAAAAATCTTCTGTGGGCAATGGCCACATCTACCTCACCCAGATCCGATGACACAAAAGAACTACTAACAAGCACCACAAAAATGGTCAAAGAATTTTTAAACAGTCAAAAATGCTCAGCCTCATCATATGGTAACTAGCCTCTAACACATGCATCAGACCTGCAACCCACGCTTGAAAAACACTCAGTTCCCTGTGGTAGACAGTCCAAAAAAAAAAAAAAAAAAAATCCTTGGCAGAAGAGAAACCAGTGAGTCTATTTTAACTTTTCTAATGCCTGGTTTAATTTCTTTCCAGTCCCATATTTTGCATACTTTTAAAAATTTACTTTTGATCATGTAAATAATACAAATTATAAAAAGTTTAAAAATATAAAACAGAATCTCATATAGAGGTTCCAACTCCTTTATTTATTGGTTATATGACCTTAGACAAGTTACTTAATCATTCTAGGCTCAGTTTCTTCATCTGAAAAAGGACTAATCCCTACATCATGGGACTGATGGGAAAATTTACTGGGAAAAGACACATGAAAAATTGAATATGGGAAGTATCCAGCAAATTTTTAAATTTTTTTTAATTTTTTTTTTTTATTTATTTCTAGGAGAGAGAGAGAGAGACAGCATGAGCAGGGGAGGGTCAGAGAGAGAGGGAGTCACAGACTGAAACAGGCTTCAGGCTCTGAGCTGGCTGTCAGCACAGAGCCTGACACGGGGCTCGAACCCACAAACCGCGAGATCATGACCTAAGCGAAAGTCGGACGCTGAACCAACTAAGCCACCCAGGCGCCCCCAGCAAATTTTTTTTTAAAGTTTATTTATTTATTTTGAGAGAGACAAAGATAGGACGAGTGGGGGAGGGGCACAGAGAGAGAATCCCACACAGGCTATGCTGCTGGCACAGAGCCTGACGCGGGGCTCAAACCCATGAAACTGTGAGATCATGACTTGAGCCGAAACCAAGAATCAGGCACTTAACAGACTGAGCCACCCACGTGCCCCCTGACAAATGTTATTTTTAAAGCTTTTCTAGGGGGCACCTTTGTGGCTCAGTAGGTTGAACATCTGACTTGGGCTCAGATCATGATCTCACAGTTTGTGAGTTTGAGCCCCACATCGAGCTCTGGGCTGACATCTCAGAGCCTGGAGCCTGCTTCAAATTCTGTCTCCCTCTCTCTCTGACCCTCCCCCTGCTTGCACTCTGTCTCTCTCTCTCAACAATAAACATTAAAAATGTTCTTTATGAGGCTCGAATTCATGACCCTGAGATCAAGAGTTGCATTTTCTTCTAACTGAGCCAGCCAAGCTCCCCTAAAGTATTTTTTTAAAATCAATTTCTCATGACTGCAATACTCACAAATCATTATTGTACTTCTTTCTAGTCTTTTAGAATATATATTTGTATATATGTAACATATAAATCTATTATGTACGTTTTCAAACAGAAACGGTGACCTTTGTCTTACTTTTTCAACCGAACATATTTTTCCATATCCTTAAGTATTCTTCAAAATGTGAATTTTTAAATAACTGTCCATTGTACACACATACTATTATCTATTTAGGTATTAAGTTATTTTCAATTTGACAATTATAAATACCATAATAAGCATCTGTGCATGTGTATATACTAACACAGGTTAATGATAAAGTAATGTACCTAGATTGAAGAGGAAGCTACTAGGAGTAGTTAAGGGCATGGCCTCTGGAGCCAAACTAAGCTCTGAGTTCAATTCCCGACCCTACTACTATCTATGTGACCCTTTGGCAAATTACTTATAAAATGGGGCTAGCAAGAGTCTACCTTGCATAGAGCTGGTACGCATATTATGGAGTTAATACATGTAAAGCACATAGAACAGTCTCTGGCATACAGGAAGAACTTAGTGTTAGTTACCTCCTTTGGATGGTAGAACATCCTCCATCAGAGAAATGAAAATATATGCATATGAATTTTGTATCGCAAGGTGTGGTAGAAGGGAAGCAGATGATCAGTGTCTTGTGAAATCCTCTCAACAGTCAGAGACAGCTAAAAATTAAGACGGGTCCTCAGCCCAAATGCCTTCCTTTCAGAATATACTATACTTCTAGGCAAGGCAAAGGAAGCAAAACAAAAACTGTTGAAGGAAGGGGTTGGCTCTCCTCAATTCGGGGTTGAGGTTATAAAATCTAAAATCTTCTCTGAAACTAACAGTAGCACTAACCAATGTAGAATGAATGAGATCAGACATAAGCAGAAATATTTACCCCAAGCTTCAACTGCAAATGTACTGTTTATGAGACTAAATTCTTCCGTGATTCAACGTAATTCAACAAATCTACTGAGCAGCATAATGTGCTAAGCATCATGTTAAAAAAAAAACAAAACCTGGGAATATAAAGATGCCCAGTTTTTGCCCTAAGAAACTTGCAATCCAAGAGTCTGCCAGAGGAACAAAAGAAACAAGGAAATTCTGACCAGAACAAACCAAACGGGCAAAGGCCAAAGACTAGGAGAGCATTCAGCTGAGAAGTGGTCCAAAAAGTTGCAGGCAGTGGATGCATGAGTCTAATGTTCAGGAGTGCAGTCTGGGCAGGGGGTACAGAGGAGTGTCACAACCATAAACATGGTAGTGGAAGCCACAGGTACAGAGAAATCATCTAGAACAGCAGTTTGCAAAACATAGTCCATAGTCCTCAAAAACCTTTGAGAGCCTGGTCTATGAAGCAGAAACTAATTTCATCATAATTCTAAAACTATTTGCCTGTGTCAATCTCATTCCCTCACTAGTCTACAATGGATTTTCCCAACCAAGGCTACACAGCACATGATAGTATTATCACTGATGGCTAATGGAATATATGCTTCTGTATTCTTATGTTTTCTAACATGTTCTAAAGTGGTAGGTTTAAGGCAGAATTTAGGTTCTCAATTTTTTCCTTCTCAGTACTTCTGCTATGCTTTTATAGCTATCTTTATACTTGCTATAATCTCTACAGTCTCATTATTGTCCAATAAATAATCACTGTAAAATCTCCAAGTTCTCCAGGCATCTAGGTAGAAACAAGTACTTTTTGTCATTTTGTTTACAATAATTTCTTTTAATTTTTAAAAAATTTCTCATTAAAAATTTTTTTAATGTTTATTTATTTTTGAAAGAGGCAGAGTGTGAGTAGGGGAGGGGCACAGAGAGAGGGAAACACAGCACTTGAAGCAGGCTCCAGGCTCTGAGCTGTCCATACAGAGCCCGATGCGGGGCTCGAACTCACAAACCGTGATATGAACTGAGCCGAAGTCGGATGCTTAACTGAGCCACCTAGACGCCCTGAAAATTTTCTCATTTTTAAGTTCTATCTAACGTATTACTTTACAGTTTAACTTTTTCTAAAATAAAAGGAAATTTATTTGTATTTTCCTCTTACATTGAAAAATGAGTCACTGGCTCGAAAAAGAGAAGACTCATTTTCTCAACCCCTAGCTGCAATCTATACATCTACAAGATCCTAAAAAAAGATGCTGTGACCTACACTTTTCTGACTCAT